TATTTTTTATTTGTTATATCTTGTTTCTGTTAATGTGTGAAAGTAGTGACCTAGCCTATTTCTTCCGAGTAAAATAATTTTAATTTTTTACATTTCCCATATATAATGAGTAAATTCACAATTAACCATATTTTAAAACCAACACAATTATCTTTAAAAAAGTAAAAAAAACATTTTCTTTGAGTTGCAATGTAATGTTTCTATTCTTTGTAACAAAAATGTTTGTATTTATAGTCTTTACGAAACATTTCAGTCACCTGATAAATCCAATCTTGAATCATACTTCCCTAATCAAGCCTGGTGATTTTAAAGATGATTTTAAGAAACACTATTTGACAAAAATAGGCTGAAAAACAAAAAAGTTGTTTATTACATTTTAAAAACTGTTCTTTTCTTTCTTCCATTATAAATTACTGAAATTGTATTATTACTGCACACGATAAATTAATATTTAAAACCAACACAATTATCTTTAAAAAAGTAAAAAAAAACATTTTCTTTGAGTTGCAATGTAATGTTTCTATTCTTTGTAACAAAAATGTTTGTATTTATAGTCTTTACGAAACATTTCAGTCACCTGATAAATCCAATCTTGAATCATACTTCCCTAATCAAGCCTGGTGATTTTAAAGATGATTTTAAGAAACACTATTTGACAAAAATAGGCTGAAAAACAAAAAAGTTGTTTATTACATTTTAAAAACTGTTCTTTTCTTTCTTCCATTATAAATTACTGAAATTGTATTATTACTGCACACGATAAATTAATACTTTTGATACATAGCTTTTGTTTTTTCACAATGTGTAGGATGCACTGAATGAGTTTGTGTCAAATTAATAAATGCACATGCAACATAATGCAATCAAGCATGAGAGGCCTTGCGACTGAACTATGGGACCTGCGCAGAGATAAGGTGAATAGGACAAAGCTGTTACCTGTACTGCATTGTGGAATATATAACCAATTGGCATCCAGAACTGTTTTATACCTGTATATGCACTGCATTATACGTTAACCAATCAGAGTTTCTCATGCTAATGTCATCAGACATTTAGCTTTCAAAACAACAACAACAACAAAACATAAGCATCTTTTACAATTATACTCACAACAGTACTCCCAGACAAACAGGCGTGACAAAAGGCATTGGACATTATAGAGCAATGTAAATAATTGTATTTTATTCAGTGTCAAAATAAATTGTCCCAAAATTGGACATCATAATCTCTACAGCAGATATACCATTTTTCTTAAAAATAAAGGTTTTCACACGGTCCATATAAGAAGGTGCTCAAATCAAAAGGCATCTTTTCATTACGTTTCAGTGCCATTCAAGACTTTATATGGAATATCAGGATCATATAGGATTAATATTACCACTGTTTAAGGAGATATTTTACTTGATTTTTAAAACTTTCTTAATCTTTTGATATTTCTGAACAACCAAAAGCTTTCTTTGGCACACATATTCCACATATCGTGCACACACACTTAAACATAATGTGGAATTGAGTTTTTCTCATGTATTAATACAGAACATATAGGCTACTTTTCCTTAATGTGTAACACAAGCGAAAAAAAAAATCGTTCAATGTAGGAAAAATATGCTTTATTCATTGTACAAATTAATTAACATATAATGTAACTATGTGATCTTTTTTTTTTAATGCTGCCGTAGACTACACTTGAAACTTGGAACTTGAATTTCCAAATCTCTTTGAATAAAGCACTGTGGAAGGAATTGTGATGTTCTTGGATTCAACTTTGAAGATGCATAACAAGACCTTAATAACCTTCTACTAAAGCCTTTACAGAAATCCTAAAACTCCAAGAACTCGTTTGTACATTTCTCTGTGACAGAGACCCGGATGTCTTCCTCGTCGTACTCATCAAAGTTACTCGTGTCTCCAGGTCCTCTGCACTTTGGTATGATGGGAGCATCGATCTGTAAAATCATTAAAAAAAATCCACTAGCTTACAAAAGAGCAGTTCCCAAGAGCCAGTTATTAAATTGAAACCTGAATGTAAAAAGCAAAAGGCCACACCTTCTTCTCATAGATTGCAATCCAGTCTGTTGTAGCGAACCATCTGTGGTTTTTGAGGTCGCTGACTCCATTTTTCAAATTGCCAAAGCGTTTTGTGAGGTCCACCTGCAGCAGATTGCGCAGAAGATCCTTCAGGTCTGAACTAAAGTGTGAAGGAAATCGTACCTGTGGAAATGGAATATTCACATCTGTTGGAAATGTGTGGAACATATGGGGGATTTGATTAGTTTCATTGCCATTTAGTTTAATTTGTATTATTTGGCTTGTTCTCTGACTGTCAGTAATTTTTAACTTTTGTTAGCAGAGGTTTTAAAGGGGTGGTACAGTATGCACAGAACAAAATGAACCTTTATAGACCCTATATTTATTTTGCTCCTTAGAAAATCATATTTTATACCTGCCTAAGCAAAATCTCCACTCTTCATCACAGTGGTAACCCAGTGTAAATGAAATGGTTCTAATTAAACATGATCAAGTCTCCCCACACACACACACGCACACACACACACACACACACACACACACACACGGTTCTGTGAATTGTGGGGACTTTCCATAGATTTGGTCCCCACAATGTAGCATAAACAAGCACACACACACACACACACACGTTTGTTTCTGTGAATTGTGGGGACTTTCCATAGACTTCTATTGTTTTTAAACTGATCAAACGACGTGTTCTATCCCCTAACCCAACCCTACCCTTACAGAAAACCTGTTTGCATTGTTACACTTTCAGATAAACATCATTTTCTATTTTTAAGTATCGCAGGCTGATCCCCACAATGTCACAAATTTCAGGTTTTGCTATCCTTGTGGGGACATTTGGTCCCCACAATGTGAATATATTGTATAGGCCTACTGTATGTACTGCAAGAATAGTATAGTGCTGAATATTGAATAGTACTGAATGCTGGTATATATATTCAGCACTTAGTTACTGCAAAAATACTGCAGTCCAACTGCAAAGGCCAAAAAGTTCAAATAAAACTCTAAATGAATAACATGTTACAGTACACTCAAGTTGTGCGATTGTAAAATCAGGGTCAATGAGAGATTCATTCTGTCTCAGCATCATGTCTTTGTGCTTGAGTCCAGACTGAGGACTTTGTCCACATCACAAGTAATGTTGTCTTTTTTTGCTAGACAAAGAGAAATGACAGATCCAGCCTTGATAACACTCTCTAAACCTTACTCTCTCTCTCCACACCCTCTTCCTCCTCGTTCTCCACTTCTTACGTGTACTCTTCCTCCTCTCCTTCTCAGATTGTTTCCATTTATTGTTTGTTTCATCATTCAGTCACCTGTGTCACTTGTGCACTCTGAACTGGCTCACATTTTGTTATGTCAAATCTGTTCCAAAGAAGAAATAAGCTACTTCTTAGGTGGCCTGAGGGTGAATACATTTTCAGCACATTTTAATTTCTGGGATTAATTTGTTTTTTGACTTGTTCTGATATAGCAACCTAATTTTATTGTACTGATGGAGCAAAAATAATTTGTGTAAAAATAGATAGTTAAAGAAATAGGGACAGAGTGCAGAGATACAGTAGGGCCAACACCAAGAGAGAATTTTACTGGCAATTACAGTACTGTAATAAAATAAATCATAGTAAAAATGACTGAAATTCTTCTGACCTTGCCAGATACAATTTTCTCATAGATCTGAATAGGTTGATCAGCGAAGAAAGGTGGATATCCAGCAGCCATTTCGTAGATCAGAACACCCAATGCCCACCAGTCAACAGCTTTGTTGTAGCCCTAACAAAGAAAAAGAGAAACATTAAGGATTTTTTTAACTTCTAGAGGAGTAAGAACTACTGCCGTGTTTTCTTACCTTGCTGAGAATGATCTCTGGTGCCAGGTACTCTGGTGTACCGCACAACGTCCAAGTTCTGCCTTTGACTCGTTTGGCAAAGCCAAAGTCTGTTACCTAAATCACATTCAAATATAAGAGATATAAATAAAAGCTCATTAAAATATAAATTACACAACCAAAGTGCAGGAAACATTTAATCGGAGGTAATAAGTGACTGGCACACCTGGATGTATCCCTGATGATCGATGAGCAAGTTTTCAGGTTTAAGGTCTCTGTAGATGAGGTCTAGAGCATGAAGATACTCGAAGGTCAGAACAATCTGAGCAGGTGGATATCCAGCAGCCATTTCGTAGATCAGAACACCCAATGCCCACCAGTCAACAGCTTTGTTGTAGCCCTAACAAAGAAAAAGAGAAAACATTAAGGATTTTTTTAACTTCTAGAGGAGTAAGAACTACTGCCGTGTTTTCTTACCTTGCTGAGAATGATCTCTGGTGCCAGGTACTCTGGTGTACCGCACAACGTCCAAGTTCTGCCTTTGACTCGTTTGGCAAAGCCAAAGTCTGTTACCTAAATCACATTCAAATATAAGAGATATAAATAAAAGCTCATTA